TAATTTTTTTTCTAGCTTGATCTTAGGGTGCATATGGGGGTAGGATGTGAATCCAAAGAAGTAAGATCTGCACAGAAGAGGGAGACAGAGCTCCTGGACACAAAGAGCTCTGTTTGGGCCTCAGATTAAAATGTAGTGAGGTTGTTTCTACCTCCAAAACAAGTGTGCTTCAGAACACCCTTTATCTACAATGAAAAACTGCCAGAAATGATAATTCTGATGTTAACAGTTTAGAGAAGAAAATAGTCTGGAGTCGAGGTGTTTGACGCTGATCTTCTGAGACTTCAGAAGAAAATCCTAGAGTGCATATCTTGAAACATTCACCCTGCTCGTTCATGGAGTTTCTGGATCAGCAGATTTTGATATGTTTTTCTTTATTAAGCCCTTTCATAGTTTTGAGAGAATTTGCATAGCCAGAGGTATATCTAGGTAGAGACAAATTGTGGTACTTGGCTCAATTTAAGAGAGTGATACTTTTATTCTTTGAGTGACTCTGTTTTAAGCCATCCAGTGACTACCGAGCACTATGTGAGGCTTAGTGCCACAGGGTCATGGCTGTCAAGGGGCTCATTGAATGGTAGGGGTAGGCAGACATATAAGTATAATATAATGTTGCAAAGGTCAAATACAGAAGTGTGTATAGGATACAGAGGGCAGACAAAGAAGGGGGTGCTTCATTCCCCTGGGCACAGGGAGAGAGGGCAGTGGGCACATGAGGTTTCCCAAAACAGCTAATGCTTGACCACAGGCTTGAGAGTTGGTGTGTGTTCACAAGTGGACGCTGGACAGTAAACATTCAAAGTAAAGAAAGAAGCATAGCGAAGGCTTGAGGATATGAACAGTTGGTGAGTTCAGGAAGCACCGTTGAATATGACTGGATCTGCGGGGTGGGGGTTGGTGCATGAGTGCATAGGCACTGAGGCACAGGATTCTTTATATGCCCAGTAAGGAACTGAACTCTCATTCAGTAGGCTGGTGTTTCTCAAATTGTGATACATAAGCATTGAATTCAATAGTAACTGCACTAAAGATTTTTTCAGGGAGGAAAGAGCAGACTCATCAGCTTCATTCTTGTTTTTAAATGATCTACAGACAGTGTAGCATCTAGTGTCCATACCCTGGGGTAGACCCCTCCCACTACCCTGCTCTTGGTATTCAGCCAGATGTATGCGCTTTTCCGTATGCATGTTATGTTTCAACATCAAGGCAAAAAGAAGAAAGACTGTCTGGGGCAGCCCACAGCATTGCTGGAAGAGCTGGACAAACAGGCCTGAGGCCCTCTGAAACAACTCCCCGGCCACATGCCTGCCTGGCCTACTAAAACCGTTACTGCTGCTGCTGACCTTGTCATCGCTGAAAGCCAGGGGCCTCTCCCACCACCTTTGCCAAGCAAACTGATTGCACATAGGGCTTTCTTCTTCAAGTTGCCCGTTTCCAAATATTCTTTCAAGTGGGTCTATCTAACTGATAGAGCCTGGGTCAAATTTTGGGCAATTTGCATTCTGGACTGCCCTTCAGGGGTGATAGGAATCAGAAGGCTGGAAATCCAAAAAATGATAAGTAGCCCAAAAAATATGGGAAAGTCCACTACGACATGCTTCTTAGCTGTTCAATGTCAACATGTCCTTATTCGATACTGCAACTCATTAAGAGCACATGAACAACCACAATAAAATTCTCCTGAGGAACATAATGCAAATATTCCTCAGTCTCTTCCAAAAGGGAGACAGTCTTAAAACAAATCTCATCCAAGTACTGCATCCAGCTCAGAATCTTAGCTCTCTGGATGACATGCACGTCCAGATGTGTCTCCTCAGGGCCCGGTGACCTTAATGCTAAAAGATAAAGGCAACTGCCTCCAATACACTGAATACACAACAGACAAGGAGCAAGAAGGTACTCACGACTCCAGTTTGGGAAAGAAGAGAGTGGGAAACACAGAGTAGTCACAGCAAATATCGAATGCTGGGTTCTGGCATCCAGGGTGAAGACTCCTTGCTGATGGTAGAAGATCTTGGTTAGCAAATCCGACAGCTTCTGCTTCTGCTTCTGCCTTCCAGAGGAGTCCTCCTAGCCCACTATCACCTGTGGCCTCATATGAGAAGGGCTTCAGTAAGGACGCCTTTCTTGGTGGCCTCACAGAGCCCTCCCAGCCCACTTTGAGTGAGTGTGAGTTTAGGGACCTGGGATGGCCTTAGGGGTTGGCCATATCATACAATTCACAATTACAGGCTACTGTCAGACAAGTCTGGAGTTTCTTTGGCAGCAAACTATTTCGAGACTATTTTCTCTGGGTTTCTTGTATCTCTACCTGCCTTGTATGCAGAGGCACTGATGGCTGCCTGCTTCAGACTATCTTTTCAAGGATGTTTGTGTAGCAAACAGTCTTGGACGACAGAGATAGTTTGCCCCAGGAACAAAGGGCATACATGCTCCGAGTGCAGTATAACTGTTTGGGTTCCCTAAGTCAGGGTTCCTTTCCCGTAATGCACATGTCAGGTGCACACCTAGACCGATCCACATAGACCGAATTCACCTCTGCCCCTTGGATCTTGGCTGAAAGTGGCAAGAGGTAACCAGGATATGTTAACATGAATTATAACTACTCTTTCCCCTCATGGCAACAACATAAAACACCATCGTTTATGTCTCAAGAAACAAAAGGAGACAGCTTTCCACAGAGAATGTTTTGATAGCATACAGCAATGCTCATACTCTTTGTAGCCGGCAGAATCTGTGCCCTCAGTGTCAAAGCCTTACTTCTTTCAGTGAGCCAGTCCTGTGTTTGAGGTTCTATTACTCAAAGCACTCCATTTCAGGCACTAAATCTGTTCGGTTAGGTTGGCTTCCAGGAACAAAATAGCACCAATGATGAACAGTGCCTCAGACAGATAAGGTGTGGATATTCCTTACAAAACTAGAAACATACGGGCAAGTCCCCCAGCGCCGGAAAGGTGGTTCCATAATGAACCAGGATGGAGAAAGGCAGGAGGATAGAGGCTCCTGCCAGTCAACCATGCCTGCACTTAAAGAACTTGTGAGAAAGCCCCATGCACCAACTCCCCTTTCATCTTAGTCAAAAGATGTCGCATCCCATCCCAGCGGGAAAAGCATCTTAAAAACAATCCTGTCGGTGGGCGAGGATTTTGCTCAGTGCTACCCTGAACAAAAGCAGGATCCTGCCAGTAAAGTAAAAAGGAAAAGTGCGCATTGGACAAGCTACCAGCAGTGTCTACCACAGCAGTTATTTTTTCACATTTAAATACTGTAAAGGACAAATAAACTGTATCTGTTCTGCATGTTCTCTGGGTACCATCTCAGAGGATGAGGGGCAAGACAGAAGGTGGAGGTAAGGAGAGACAGGAGAGGACTTCAACTTCCAGACAAGAGCCCATGAGTGTCTGAGAGCAATGTAAGTCAAAAGGATAGAAGAGCTGTCCAGAGTTGGGGGAATCAGCTTTGTTATTGTTTTTAAACGAATGCCCTATTCCTCGTGATTCCTTCCAAGTGATGAGAGCTCTACACAGTGTACACTACGGAACTTCTGTCACGCTGTATCTCTATCTCCCTCTCCCTAAAGGGAAGTTGAGTGGTTTCTCTGATCAATATGTGCAGGAAGAATATCGATGCTCCTTTTGGGTCCACCATTCTCCACGTGAGGGTGGGCCTCCCGTGGAGTGCAGCCATGTGATGGGAAACTGGAGGCTTCTCTCCCTACGGTCCCTGAATAGAGGGAACTTTTTCTTGGGTAACTTGGACACAGAGCATGAGTTCTGTGCTCCTCCACAGTATAGGTCATACCGTATCAGAGGCCTCCCTCACTAGCCTTGCCTATGGCTGAGTGGATAAAGCTGCCTAATTCTGGAGTTGAGGGTCACCCACCATAACCAATTAATAGGTCAAAGCCATGCCACATGACCTATCTCTATAGTAAGGAAGATCTTATTTCATCCCCCATCTGCCTCTCCTGCACTTTATTCATTTCTTTTAAAAAACAGCTCTGTTGATATAATTCACATATCATACAATTCACCCATTGAAGTATATGATTCAATGTTTTTAGCATATAGAGTTATGCAAGTTATCACCAAAATCAGTTATGAACATTTTCATCACTCCATAAAGAAACCTCTTACCTTTCAGTCATTAACTCTCATTGTTTCCTCCTTAACCCCTCACCCTTCACCCCCACCAATGGAATCATACAATATGTATTGTTTCTGGCTTCTCTCACTTAGCATAACATTTTCAAGGCCCATTCATATTGTACCATGTATCAGTCTTCCGTTCCTTTTTGTTACCAAATAATATTTTATTGTATGAATATACCACATTCTGTTTATTCATTTGGCTATTAACAATAATGTTGCTACAAAAATTTGTGCATATGTTTTTGCATGGATATATTTTCAATCCTCTTGGATACATACCTAGGAGTGGAATTACTGAGTCATATGATAACTCTATGTTTAGCCTTTTATGAAACAGCCAGACTGTTTTATGAATTGGTTGCCTCACTTTACATTCCCACCAGCAATATTTGAGAATTCCACATCCTCCACATCCTCAACAGTTGTCATTGTCTATCTTTTTTACTATAGCCATTCCAGTATGTGTGAACAGCTGTCTCATCTTGGTTTTGCTTTGTGTTTCCCCAATGGCTAAGGAACGCTCTCTTTTTTAGACCCAGATGGTGGTCACATGTATATGTTCATGGGGGTAACTCAGCAAAGTGTACACTTAGGATTGGTGCATTTTTCTGAGCATTATACTTCAATAAAAAAGTTTGTTTTAAGAGTACATATTCCACATCAAGTAAAGAATTACATTCTAAGACTTATGGCCAAGATGGAAGTGTATGTAGACAAACTATGCCCGCCTCACACAATCAAAAGAAGGACAACAACAAATTTAAAAATAAAAACAAGCAGAACTGCCAGAAAATCGAACTATATGGAAGTCCAACAATCAAGCAGTTAAAGAAGAAACACTCACCCAGACCGGTAGGAGGGGTGGAGACGGGCAGCCGGGTGGAAAGGACTCATGGCAAGGCAGCAGCTTGAGGACCAGGTGGTCCCTCATTCATGTGCAGATAAACCAGGAGGAACAACTGTGGAGCAAGACAGACTGCTCAATCTAGGGTTCCAGCAAGGGAAACAAGCCTCAAAACCTTTGACTGTAAAAACCTGTGGGGAATTACGGCAGTGTGAGAAACTCCCAGCCTCACAAGAGAGTTTGTTGGAGAGACCCAGAGGGTCCTAGAATGTACACAAACCCACCCACCCAGGAATCAGCACCAGAAGGGTCAGTTTGCTTTTGGGTAGTGGAAGAAGTGACGGAAAACCAGCAGAGAGCTGCAGCACTGTTTCCTCTCTGACCCATCATCCCCCACATACAGCACAACAATGCAGCGAGGTGATTGCCCATCCTGGTGAACACCTAGGGCTCCACCCCTTACTATGTAATAGGTACGCCAGACCCCCCCCCAAAAAAAATGGCCCAAATGAAAGAACAGATCAAAGCTCCAGAAAAATACAACTCAGTGACGAAGAGATAGCCAACCTATCAGATGTACAGTTCAAAACACTGATAATCAGGATGCTCACAGAATTGGTGGAATATGGTCACAAATTAGAGGAAAAAAATGAAGGCTATGAAAAGTGAAATAAAGGAAAATGTACAGGGAACAAACAGTGATAGAAAGGAAACCAGGACTCAAAGCAACAGTTTGGAACAGAAGGAAGAAATAAACATCCAACCAGAAAAGAATGAAGAAAAAAGAATTCAAAAAATGAGGAGAGGCTTAGGAACCTCCAGGACATCTTCAAACATTCCAACATCTGAATTATAGGGGTGCCAGAAAGAGAAGAGGAAGAGCAAGAAATTGAAAACTTATTTGAAAAGATAATCAAGGAGAACTTCCCCAAAATGGCAAAGGAAATAGACTCCCAGGAAGCTCAGAGAGTCCCAAAGAAGTTGGATCCAAGGAGGAACACACCAAGGCACATCATTATATTACGCAAGATAAGGAGAGAATCTTAAAAGCAGCAAGAGAAGAGAAGACAGTTACCTACAAAGGAGTTCCCATCAGACTGTCAGCTGATTTCTCAAAAGAAATCCTGCAGGCCAGAAGGGGCTGGAAAGAAGTATTCAAAGTCATGAAAGATGACTCTCTCCAACAAAGCTATTGTTTAGAATGGAAGGGCAGATAAAGTGCTTCCCAGATAAGGTCAAGTTAAAGGAGTTCATCATAACTCAGACCTTATTATATGAAATGTTAAAGGCCTTATCTAAGAAGAAGATAAACAATATGAATAGTAAAATGACAACAAACTCACAGTTATTAACCACACCTAAAACAAAAACAAACTAAGCAATCAACTAGAACAGGAATAGAATCACAGAAATGGAGATCACATGGAGGGTTATCACTAGGGGAGTGGGAGGGGGAGAGGAGGAAAAGGTACAGTGGCATAAATGGTAGAAAATAGACAGGGGGAGGGTATGAATAGTATGGGAAAAGTAGAAGTCAAAGAACTTATATGTACAACCCGTGGACATGAGGTAAAGGTGGGGAATATGGGTGGGAAAGGGTGTGCAGGGTGGAGAGAATAAAGGCGGGAAAATAGGACAACTGTAATAGTATAATCAATAAAATATATTTAAAAACACATTCTACTTTTAAAATAAAATTATCACTACCACCACTACCACCATCACCAAAAAGACAAGAGCAACAGCTGTTAAGTGAGACAGACTTGGACAGGACTCCGTACTGTGTCTCCTGGAAGCAAGGCTGCCTAACCCACAGGGCCTCTGCTGCTTCACCTTTAGATGAAGTAATAACGAGGTTTTGGTTAATGTGGTTGATATAGAAGCTCCCAAGAATGCCATCTTCCTGAACATAAAAATCACTCGATCATAAACTACCCTTGCACTTATTCTGTTTGTGGCTGATAAGCCTCTTGACCAGTGCATTTAGTTTTGCTCCTCTAGTATGGACATGCCTTTCTGAACGCACTTAAAAAACCTAAATGATGAATGTGTCTTCTTTGGGTTTCACAAATTTATGAATGTTTCAATAATCAGCTGTGTCATGTGAAGTGAAGAAGTTAACCTCATGAATTTTCTTACTACAAAGACTAATGGGAATACTGATGTTTTCTAATGGTCCAAGTGTTTGAGATTTAAGGCCTTGTATTAGCTCCATTGCTAACTCTACAGTTCAGGTGCAATATATTTCAGTAAGCCACCAATCAAATGGTTTAAACATTAGTTGTTCCACCTATAAAGTCCCTAAAGTCGTATGTTGCATCACTAGCATAAAATTTAATTATTAGCTATAAATCCCCGAGATCCTAAGATGATAGTCACTTCAGTGTTACACCACAACAGCAGAGATTCCAAGGACCCCACCATTTTAAATACACATCACAAGAATTTGTTCACTTGCCCTTAATAAACCTTTTATTTACAAAATTATAACTTTAGATTTCAAAGTTTTCTTTCTGCGTCGATCAGGATTAGGTTCAGTTGTATATAAGGGTAATTCAATATAGTGGTGGATTGAACCAGATGGAGGTTTTTTTTTTACAAAACAAACCCAAAAGTGGGCAGTCATCAGGCCAACACCACCTCTTCCTGATGCCATCAGGGATGTGGGCCCCTTCCATCTTTCCTTTCCATTATCACGACTTCCACCTTTAAGACCACATATTGGTTATAGGTTGGCTGCTGTGACTCCCACCATCAAGTTCATGTTTTAGGCAGCAAGGAGAAATGGGGCAAGGGCAAAAGAGTCAGCTTCCATGTGGCGTGTGCTCCTTTTATGAAGTTTTCCCAGGAGCTGTTCCTAAATTTCCCATTTGCATGTCATTGGCTCTCCCTAGCCACGATAAGGCAGACACATGCAGTTGCAGAGAAGAATACATTGCCACACCCACACTAGAGAGAGGGTTTTGCTCCAAAGAAATGAGCAGATGGGTAAGAGGTTGACAAGCAGCAGTTTCTGCCACACTTAAAAAAAATTCTTTCCCATGTCTTTCTAGAATGTTGTAATCAGTCCTCTATTTTTCATTCAAATGGAAATATAAAGCAATTGTCAGAGATTTATTAAAAATCAATTTAGTTAGTTAAATTTTATGGTATCATTCACTGACATTAAAAATATTTATTGTACCTTCTTTGTGTCAGGCCTTTGATAAGTGAAGGGATGCACTAGAGATCACAACCCCACCTTCTCAGAGCTCCCAGCACATCGGTTCGGTTCAAGGATGATGACTCATTTCTGTAACAGACGTCCATGTTGAAGGGTTAGCCTCTACAATATGGCACTACCATTTAGGTAATTGGCTACATGTGCTATTTTTAAATAAAAATATACTTTCCTTTATCAGATAAATAGTTCCATTGTTTTGAGATGGCTAATATAGACCTGAAGACAAGTTTTAAGTATTAATATCATGGAAAGCATTTTCTGTGCAAAAAAAAAAAAGGTGCTGTTTTGGTCTAGTGATAAAAGTTCAAATGAAAACATTAATATGCCTTTGGCAAACAGAATAATCGAAATATATCGAAATAATTGAAAAACTAAAGCCAGTTTTTCTAGAATTTTTAATCAGAAAGAACAACAAGATAGCACTAGAGGGGAAAGCAGACAAACAATATAGAGAAACTAAGTATTTGGTTATATCTTTCAGGTAAAACAATCAACTAAGAGAATATTGTCTTGAAGAAGACTGGAGCTTTGTTCACAACTTCTTGGTAACTCATTTTTGAAAGTTCCTAGGTACGTTTATGAGAAGCTCTAAAGCATACAATACGGTAAATAACAACAGGTTGCTATTGTGTTACAGTAAATGACATTTCTCATTTTATTGCCTTTAACACACCCGTGGCCTATATTTTATTTCAAGCATAGGATCAAGTTGAAATTGACCAGCTCCAGTTTCAAGTGACTCCAAATTTCTTTGTCTGCAACATTTGGAACATATGGAACATGCCATATGTAGAAGAATAAACCATATTTCTTGTAGCACTTGTCTCAGTTAAGAGAGACTTATGTGAAAAGGAAAAAAAAAGCCCACAGACCCCTTGCTTTAACAAAAATAAAGCTAAAATTTAAAAAGATTCAAAGCCCATAGACCAGTTCCTTTAATGAAAATAAAGCGGAAATTTAAAAAAATTATATAAAGTCAATTTGAGCCAAGATATAATTTTAAATGACTATAAAGCATAGGAAAGTAGAATATACCCCTTTCCCCATGAGATTGGTCTCTCTTGTTTATTTGGGAGTGGTTCTCCTACCTAGTAGCTATTAGGAATAGAACACAATTTTCTGTGTTTTGAAAATTAGGAGCAAAGTTTAGAAAACTGGGTTTCACGCTGGAACATGTAATCATTCCCACCCCGAATTGAGATGTATCCCTTGATTTTGTTCACTCTCACATCCCAAGTGTCTAATCAGTACCTGGCACATAATAGAGATAAATAAATAAATAAATAAATAAATAAGTATGAATAAGTGAATGAAAGTTTCAAATAATTTTGCCATAGTCTTTCACTATCTCCCTTTGGAGAACTTCCTTGAAAAAAAGTGCTTTTACTTCACAAAGACTATAAAATAAAGAAAAATAGCAAAAGCAATAAGACTTTGAAATGTTCGATGAAATGGTGCATGTATTTTTTAGTTTGTGTTTCTAGACCTTTGCAGTAATGAAGCGTCTTGGAGGAGGAGTTCAGGGATTATTCCTTCAGGACCAGCAGTTAGCTTTTTGACTGCTTGCTGGGCACTGGGCATCAAGGCAGGTGGAAGGAATGAGGGGTAAATGTGCACTTAGGTTCCCTGCCTTCGGTTTCAGGTGTTTCTCCAGCAGCAAGAGTATTTCACACCTTAATGAATCCTTTTAAGTTCAGTCTAGTCTACCCAAATGTTTTCTGTCCTACCTACCCCTCTGTTTTTGTTTTGCCTGCTGATTTTTTTATATTGAAGTACAAACATGATGTTAATTAATTGACACCTGAGTTGCAGACCAGGTCCCCAGTGGGTGCTGCATGAGAGGCAACCACACATTGATGTTTCTCTTCCTCTCTTTCTCCCTCCCTTCCCCTCTGTCTAAAAATACATAAAATCTTCAAAAAAAAAAAAAGATCCATGACACAACCTTGAAAACATTATGCTGGATGAAATAAGCCAGACACAGAAGTGGTCAATTTTCAACACACCTGTTGGAGTGATCCTTTACCAAAAACAAACAAACAAAAAAATTTTAGTTTGATCTCACGCTTCCACTCAAAATCCGTCTGAGGTTTGCCAGTTCATTAAGAGTCAAAGCCAAAATTCTTTGACTACAAGCTCATGATCTGGCCATGGCTATGCCAGTTCCTATTGCTCTCCTACTTTCTTACTAAAACGCAACCCATGGGCCTCCTTGCACCTTCCTCGTGTCCTTTTGTTTATTATTTATTTATTTATTTGCTTTTTTTTTGCATGAAAAACTTTCTCGCAGTTTTCTTCATTGGTACTTTCCTCATTTTCTTCAGTTCTCAATGTTATTTAAGCCATTTTCTTTGATCAGTCTAAAAAGACACGCACACACTCATATACACCACCCCCTTTCTCGGCGTTTGTTTTCTTAGAGTTAGCTAACATGTTACATACGGCAATTATTTAATAGTAACTAACACATTCAATGTTCACCCTGTGCTTTACATATTAATTTACTTAATCCTCACAACAACACTTAAAAAGTATTTACTCCTATTTTCCCAAGAGGAAGCTGAAACTAAAGATTAAGCAATTGTCCCGAGTCAGCAAGGATCCCATCCCAAGGAATTCAACTCTGGAGTCCATGCTGTAAAACACGAGGCCATTGAAGACCACCTTTCTAATAACTTTGCAATGTTTATGTTCTGCGTGTCCCCACTGGGATGTAAAGTGCACGTGAGAGCATGTTTTGAAAGCTACGGTTATCCCCAGCCCACCGAACAATACCTGCCAGGTCGTGCCTAAATGAAGGCTGAAAAATGGGTTAAATTATAACTAAAAAAAACTAACAGACTCAGCAATAAATGCATACTCCAAAGGCTCTTTCGGGTTTGCTAAGAGGGAGTTAGATTCAGTTGCGTGCAAAGGGAAGCAGGGCCGAATGGCTGCTGGGAGCAACGTACGAGGCGCCGAGAAGTGCGAGGGTGCGAGTCAGGAACGGAACGACTGTTCTGATCACAAGTAATTTTCGTTCACTCGACAGTCTTAAAACTTCAAGCAGGAAACGGGATAAGTAAACTGTAAGCTACATCGTTTTGAAAGTTTAAGCCCGGAAAAGCTACGTAGGGAGGTGGTCCCAGAGGGCACGTCCACCCCACCTCCAGACGCGGCCAAAGCACGTGGTCTGATTGGCGGCTTTCGCCCTGCCCATCCCAGTGACTCCGCCCCTCAGGACAAGCGCGAGGTGACCCGGAAGCGGTTGTCAGGCTCCACAGAGCGTGTCAGCTCCCTTTTCCGGCCAGCGTTGTCGGTGAGTGGAGTGTCTGCCGCATTCGGACCTTCACCATGAGTGTCCCGGCCTTCATCGACATCAGTGAGGAAGATCAGGTGTGCTCCCGGGCCGAGGGGGACGCCAGGGTGGGGTTGAGCGAGCCTTGGGTTGTGAAGGGCCGAGTCGAGGCTGGGCCTGGCGAGAGGAACGCCTCTCTGCGGAGCCGGCTCTGGGACTGATGGCCACAGCTCACTTCGCACGTGGGAGTGGAGAGCCGGGAGGCTGGGGCGCGCCTTTGTGGCCTGGAGTTGCACCAGCCCAGTGGCCGATTGTCCCAGCGCTGGGCCCCAGGCTCCACTCCACTTTCTTGGTCGGCGTCAGTACTTTTTGAGCCTGGAGTTACTTCTGACAGCACAGTACTATCTGACTCACTGGTATCTACTTCCGTCCCCCCAATGCAGCCACATCCGGAGTAGGAGGTGGTAGATATTTAGATGGCGTAAGCAGGCTGAAGAAAAATAATTTTGTACTGAAGATTAAAGTGGTGTTAATGGGACCACAAAGACACAGGTGACCTATTTTGTACATAGACCTACTGTGCAAGCCTGAGAGGTTTGTACCCTGAAAATGAAACGTCAATTCCATCTTCATACTTTGAGGCACACATCTGGTGAGCCGTCCCAACATTTTTAAATGTTCCGTTTGGATGGGGTTTGCACTTTTCCCCCGTAACAAAAGCTAAACTGTAGTTGGTGGGAGTTAAACTAAACATATAATGATCTCTAAGTTAATTTTGCAGACTAAAAGCTGTTCTGTGAAGTCGTGTTGTCATTTTCTAATTTAACTACTATTCCACTAACGTGGAAATTTTGGTTTCCATAAAAGACAGCATTACTGTTCTGACATACTTTAAGAATTGCAGATGTCATTCACCACCCACCCCTTCCACAAGAAATGCAGATAGACCCTCAGCCCTGAAGGGCAAAGTAAAGAATTGAAATGAAAAAAAAATTTTAAAAATCAGTCTGGAGAAGAAGTTGAACAGTTAGATGTTAACAACAAGGGAAAAAAAGGATGTCTTATTCGTCATGGAATCATGTCGTCAACAGTTGACTATGAGGTTACTGAAAAGTATTTTTTTAACATGGAAAAATATTTGTAAATGCAGCAATTTATAAATCATATTTTAGTTTAAAGTGTCATTTCCAGTTAGGTTATGCTGCTGCTGTTGTGATATATCTTTTCACACTACACATTCCTTTCAGGTAAATAGGTGATTGCTTTCAGGAATTTAACTTTGATTAAATTCTCTGCTTAATTATAGTTGATAAATGGAGTTGAGAATCCTTGTTTCTTTCCTCTGTTTGTACCCCTCCACAACCACAACTTGTGACCAGTGACCATGGCAGATTAAAAACAATAAACTGTTGAATAGTTATTAGAGAAAGTTCACTTTGTGTCTATAAAGCAGAAACTGAACAAGTGCCTTTTTTTTTTTGACAGTGTTATGGGTGTTTTTATAGAGAAGTATACTTCCCAGTGATATTTTTATGCTCTCTGGTAGGGTGACAGTTGTTTTATGAAGTCTTGTTTTACTACCAGCTCATGTGAAGTTACTATGTGCTTAGCTGAAAGGATAGTACCATCAGATCTACAGACTTAATATGCTTTTCTTAGGTAGCCAAAACATTTGTGGGTTTAGAAAATGTGATACCCAGGCATTTACTAATGGTATCCTCACCTCTCCCTGTTTTACTTCTTCATTTTATTATCTTAAATACCATTTACATTGGTTTTTGGTTGCCATACATACCAATCTCTAAAAGGAGGAAGTTGTTAAATGCCACATACACACATTACAGTAGAAAATGTCTAAATACTGGATACAGTCCTGTAGATATACTTTTATAGGCCCAAAGGTGCTTTTTGATCCAGATAGGCATTTTGCATTTTAAAAGACTATTTACATAATAAATCCAATTTGAGACAAATAGTTTATTCAAATAAACATTCAGAGGCATCATCTTCATCTTTTTATCTTTGTTTCCCAAAATGCTCATCTCGGGTTCTCAAACATTTAATATACCTTTTGCCAAGGTAATGTGTGTAACTTTAAAATAGCTGTGTTATGTACACCTGAGAGCAATGAAGTTTCATTTCTTTAAAACATTGAATTTACCAAGTCAGATATCATGCCCTGCACTGCCCCCCTCCCCCACAAAGGCTTTGAGTTATAGTAGAAAGATTGGTGCTGTATAATGGAGTTCGGGCAGGATGTAGGCGATATGAAAGAGATTCTGCAGGTGACCCTAGTGGATCTGTGTGGTCTCGGGGTTTGTAGAGGGCACACTGTAGGGCTGTGATGATGGGTAAGATAAAGTCATTGTTCAGTGCGGCATTTATATTGAATTTTTTCAGAAGTAGGACAGGATGGTTCGAGAGCATGTATTTTGTTATTCGTGGTCAGTTTTATAGATAACACAGCAATGCTGTTTAATTCGCCAGGCTGCAGAGCTTCGAGCTTATCTGAAGTCTAAAGGAGCTGAAATTTCAGAAGAGAACTCAGAAGGGGGACTTCATATAGATCTAGCTCAGATTATTGAAGCCTGTGATGTATGTCTGAAGGAAGATGATAAAGGTTTGTATTTTTTGTAATATTTCTAATAATGAAGAACCTACTTTTTAATTTTCTTGTGAATTTGTTTTGTTTCAGACCTTAGAACTTTTAGGCACTGTTTCTAATCTTTGCACATACTTTCAGTTTATTCTAATCCGTTATAACTACGAAGTAAGCCCATTTTGAGGAAACAACTTTTTTACATCAGGAATGACTTCTGAGTGTCACTGCACCCACTAAATACTGGATTGAACATAGATTGAACATAGAAAAAGAAGCACTTCTTTTTCATAAGGTTTAGATTAATAGCAAGTGGAGTATAATAAATCTAAAAGCCATTTATTTAGCTGATGCCCTATTTATTGAAATAAAATGGGAAATTTTGAAAATTGGAAGTCTTGGAATCTCTATTTAAGGTTTGAGATCAAACTTGGTATATGACTAGCAGCATACACTCAAAAACTAGTGACCCAACCAGAAGGTAGACAGCTTTCATTTCTAAATAATTTTTCTGTTTGTATGTACAAAGTTTGCTTCCATTGGGAAAACATCCTAGCCTAAGACCTAACCAGTAACTTCCACAGGATTGAATTATATCTTGCCAGTAAAAAATTGAAACTCTATATAGACATGTAAATCAGTTTTCTGTTTTACTGATTGAAAACCAAATATTAGGTAATGATTTCTTTCTTTAATAAAACATACAAATTGTTTTCTGAATGTTAGCTCTACAACAGAGCTAGTTTAGGTTGAATTCATATATATTTTTAGTATAGTGCACACCATTGAAGGAAAAGTGGCCTTCAGAACTGTTTTACAGTAGATTACATCTTTTTAAACTGTCTAATGTTTAATGGTCTTTGAATGCTTGAAGTACATATTTAACTAGATACAGTAAGTATTAAAGTATCACTGTTGTGTTACCCATATACATGTAGATGTTGAAAGCGTGATGAACAGTGTGGTGTCCCTCCTATTGATCCTGGAGCCAGAAAAGCAGGAAGCTCTGATTGAAAACCTCTGTGAAAAGCTGGTCAAATTTCGGGAAGGTGAACGCCCATCTCTGAGACTGCAGTTGTAAGTTAAGAAATGAAAGAGACTCAGTTTTTCTAGGGACTCTGCATTTGATGGTTAAAAGCAAGAATTCTGGAACTTGACTGTCAGCTATGGCTTTTATTAGCTGCATGACTTTGGACGAGTCATTTAACCTTTCTGTGTGACTCCCTACCCCCGCCCTTTCCCTCCTTATGTGACGTTATAAACAGTATCTGTCTTGGGTTTGTTAGACCAGATAATCACCATAGTTACTGATCTCAAACTTTTTTAAATAACTTTTTAACCAGGCTAAGCAACCTTTTCCATGGGATGGACAAGAATACTCCAGTAAGATACACAGTATATTGCAGCCTCATTAAAGTGGCAGCATCTTGTGGGGCCATCCAGTATATTCCAACTGAGCTGGATCAGGTGAGTTATGTGGAATACTTGTTCTGCTTTTCTTTTCTTTTTTAAAGATTTTATTCATTTTATTTTTAGAGAGGGGAAGGGGGGGAAGAGAAACATCAATGTGTGGTTGCCTCTTGAGCACCCCTACTGGGGACCTGGCCTGCAACCCAGGCATATGCCCCAACTGGGAATTGAACCAGCGACCCTTTGGTTCACAGGCTGGTGATCAATCCACTGAGCCACACCAGCCAGGGCACTTGTTCTGCTTTTAAGAAGTGTAGTTTTACATTATAACTAAAATAAGTAGCAAATGTGTTAAGCTGTATCACTAAATTTTCTCCTTTTGTCAATCTCATCATAGGTTAGAAAATGGATTTCTGACTGGAACCTCACCACTGAAAAAAAACACACCCTTTTAAGACTACTTTATGAGGCACTTGTGGATTGTAAGAAAAGGTATTCAGAATTAATGTCTTAAATTAAAACTTAAGAGGCAAAATGAGTAGCTGATGGCTGATTTTTAAAGATAGATAGGGAAAGTGATTCTTGCTCTACTTGGTTCTCCATGAGTTGCTATTAATCTATTTCTGTAAATTTCACATACTAAAGATAACTGCAAATTTTAAAATACTATTTCCCTATCTTTTAACTTAAAAAGCAAAACTTGCTTTTGTTATAAAAATGGTACATCTATTAATCCCAAAGCTGTCTATAGTACCAGATAAGTTTATTTAATGGTGCTTTAATGTCTTAGTATAGAATAGTGTTGTTGCTTTTGTTTAAT